GAGTCTGCTATATCACTGCTATTTAAAAAAAATGTCTGTGAGCTTCTTCAATAAGGAACAGAATTCTGTTTGTTGTAGCTTAGTGCATAACTCTGAGGAGATAACCTGTAAATATCTGGGATGTGGATTCATGAACTAATGAATAAATGAATGAATGCACTAGTCTGTCATAAAATTGTGATACAATACATGATTATGGGTGGATGAGCTAGAGAATTCTTTATTCTCAGTCCCTAGAACTTAGCTGTTTTTACCTACTAAAAATGAAACACCGTTGGTACTGTGTTTTATATATAAATCTAAAGTGCTAGAGAGCTGTTGCAGTAGGCAAGAGCATGGTCTGCTCTTCTAGAGGACACAGGTTCAGTTTCAAGCAACCCCAGTGTGGCCCATAACCTTACATCTGGTTTCCATGGGCACCAGTTGTGCATTGATACAGAAACAGACATACATGCAAGCAAAACACTAAAACACATAAAATAAATTAAAATGATTTTTAAAAATTAATTGAAGGTAAAATTACAAAGATATTCATGTATTAAGAAAAACACAGATATCAAGCATAATTTACCTTAATATGCTCTGTATCTTTACATAACACTCACAACTCCTGACTACATCATCATGATTAACACTTTTAAATACTTTCCTAACTAAATCACCTACACAAAAGATTTCTTTAAAAGACTCGTGAAATAGTATGTCACTAGCAAAAGATATGTCTTAGTTTTTGGACTTCACATAAATTCTAGTAATTAGTAAATAAGTTAGCTGAAGAAGAGCAAGGCCTGCATATACGGTAGTATAAAGACCCTTCAATTTTACAAGACCTTCTGCAGCTGACACTATGGAAGTCAATGACCATACACATATGATTCTGGCCTCCTATAACATGGCATACATCTCACTCCATAGAAGCGACTCATACTCATTGGCAACCCAGTGTTTCTCCCAAAGGCAATGGGAGCCACATACAGCATGGTGTGATCATCTCTGCTTTATTTACTTGTTAGATGGCTCCCGAGTAAGACTGCCAGGGAGTTCTCATAACCAAGTCATACTTGCCAAGATGCTAATCTGCGCAGATCCAGAGATAGTCCATCCCTAAGTCTGGGCGTACGGTTAGTGCACCCATAGACAAGTTAAGCTGGTAGCTGATTGATTCTGAGTGCTCATTTCAAAGACCAATAGCTCATACTTCTCCATCTTTATGCATTTGAAAGTGCTGTTTACGCCTAAATGAACAGTTCCCTTTTCATAATCTGATGTTCACTTGTTTGTGTATTGAGCCATCATGTGGGTGTTTAGCAGGTGATAATGAAATCGCTGAGAAAAAAATTCTATTTGGTTCAAGAATCCCACAGAACAATAAACCAACCATGTGAAAAGCATGCTCGATTCTCTAATGATTCTCATTTGAATATTGTCTCAGTGTCAGAGTGTATTTCAGAGCAAAAGGCCCTGACATTTCTCACAGACTACCCTGCTAAGTGTCTATAAGTCACATTAAAATAGGAATATTACTTGAAATATGCAAGATTCAAAACTCATTTTGATTGCCATTGTCATTCCTGGGGTTTTCTCTCTCTGTGTGTACTTGAGAAACCACTAATCTATGGATTCTTGCCTTTTAACATCCCTGATTTTATTCTTAATCTTGAGCTTAAGGTAATGAGCTGGGTTTTCTTAATTACCTTAATAAACTTTTTAAAATCAAGCCCACTAACAATCAAAGGAATGCAAATTAGAGGAGCAATGGGATGTTATTATTTGCCTATTAAAGCAGAAGTTCTGGTATTTAAATGATAATGTTAAATGGTGATGAGGTTACCTTTTTTGATAATCAAGTGTGGCTTGAAATAATGTAAGTCTTTTGGAAAGACTTAAAATGTTTCCACCTTTTGATCCAGTAATCTGATTTTTAGAACTCTGAAATGGAAGACAAATTTAGATGGAGATGGTGGAGACAGATATTTTCAAATAATGAAATGCACTGCTATTTGAAACAAAATTGTTTAGCTACCTAAATAATCATAATATGAAAATAGTTGATTTGGGGTATGTATACATGGTGGCACGTATTTCTCACAGTGAAAGCTGTGTTGAAAACTAAGCATTTTGGGCCTTGAAAGATGATTCAGCAAAAAGACCTTTCTGACCTTGGAGAGGACCTACCTGGCTTTGCCTCCCACACCCATACCAGATGGCTCACAAACCACCTGTTGCCCCAATTGTCCTAGATCTGATGCCCTCTTCTGGCCTTTGTTAAAATAAAGAGTTCATAATGCTGTTATACTAAAGTATAAGCTTTAGAAAATATGATTTTAATTTCCTTGAGTTACCTTTATTTTTCTGGGTTTTATTTGTTTGATTGTTTGTTTCTCTTTCTTCATGTACCTGTCCATATGAATTTTTGCATGTGTGTGGATGAATGTGGACATGTGTGCAGGTATATAGGTACATGTGCATGTGCACATGTGGATTACTGAGGTTGATGCTGGTAACCATCTTTTATCAACGATCCCTCTTCTACCATCCTCATAAGGAAGAAAATTTCCATCAAACCCATAGCTTGCTTAGCCTACTTGATCTGGGTAGCCTCTGTCCCTGCCCTTCATAGCTGAAATTACAAGCAAGTCATTATGTTCAAAAGCTTTTACTACTAAGAAATCTCCCCAACTACTGTGTTAATTATTTTAAAACAGTGTCATGTAGCATAGGATGACACTGATTTTTCTATATAATATAGGATGACTGTGAACTCCTGATATTCCTGCCTCCATTTTCCAAGTGCTAGGATTACAGGCCTGGGCCACATACCATGTTCATGTGTATATTTGAAACTACATGTGCATGCAGAGAAACTTAGATAGGAATCTCCACGCACAAATAAATGAAGAAGTAAGATGTCTATATTAACTATTTATACACTGCTGACAACATGGTCATCAGATATTTTATTTAAATTGAAAGATAATAGGTTCTACTCTACTCACTGTTAAAAGAACCAAAAAAGATAACAGTACTTATGTTCCACGGGTCTCTTTCTCAGAATAGAGAATAGAATACAAACAGAACGTCAGAACAATTATTAGTTAACTATGTAAATGGGTTGTTATGAACACATACCAGCATTTAGAATGTTTTCTCACCTTCACTGAGACTTTTCTGACAACTATGTTGAACCGTGTTCACCACCAGCACCTCCAGGCTTCCACATAGTCTTTCTGTCTTTGAGCATGTATGTAATTCACATGCTTTGACATACATGGGTGAATAGGGAGATAGAAACTATGTGTGGCAGTGATTTGTGAGGGAACTTGCACACCATGTTACCCCAGACATCTCTCTGTAATGATTAATAAGGGATAAGAGGGCCAAAAGACCATCTTCCACATCTCAATTCTACCCATCACCAAGTTTCTTAAGTTACATTACGGAGCCTGCCACCTCTTCTCTACAGGATGAATGACAGACTGAGGCTCCAGGGTTTTCTTGACAGCAAATCAGAGAAGACAAATGAATGGGACCGAGTGTAGTGTTGACCCAGAATTGACACTTGAAAAGTTCACTTGAAACTGGGTTCAGAGCCAAGACATGAATGGACCAGAAGTGGACAGGATGTTAACTCCTCTTTGACATGCTCTCTGAGATACGTGTCACAAGAAGTTATTTTCACCTGCACCCTGACTTAGGTTCCTGGTCTCTGAAATGGAATACTATGTAACTGCAATTTCTTCTTTTAAGTGTCTGAGGGGCTACAGTGGCTGATATGATTTAAATAATAAGACAACTGGAAATGACATTTAGAAAGCTTGTAAGTGCCTTTTAGAGCTGTTCACTTTGTGCTTTTTTTTTTTTTTTTGGTTGGGGAGAAAAGAGTCGCATAAAACCCCATCCTTTGCTGTTGCTCTCCATTTACATGAGTCATTCCTCCTGTTTGCATGTATACTAACTAGAGCTTGGTTTCATAAAAACAGAATAGAACAAAAACCTCCAAATCCTGGGCTAGTCATAGTCCATACCAGATACCTCACCAGGGACTGTTAGAAAATCAGAATAAGAGACAAAGTCACTATTGAACTTGTCTGAGAATCAAGAAGCTACCAGAGCTGGTGAGGCTCAGCGGTAGAGCACTTGCCTAACAGGCAGAGGCCCTGGGTTCAATCCCCAGGACTGTAAGGGAAGAATAACATATTGGAATCAACTCAAAAATAAAAATATATAGTTCCATTGTTTAGTAGAGTTTGAGAAGTACAGTATTTAGTTCTTCCTTTTTTCTTTATTGTTGTATGTGTCTTTTACATCATATATCTTGATCCCATTCATTTCCCTGTCCCTTTGTATCTGCCCTCTGCCACTACACACTCCCCAAATAAAACAAAATTAAAGAGAAAAAAGGGAACAGAAAAGAAAGAAAAAACCTAAAAACCTCGCCATGGAAGCTGTAGGATGACACAGCGAGTCACTGTGAACCCCTTTGTCCATATATCTTTATTTGCAAGTGCTCACTGCAAAGTGCCATTGGTCTGGATTGAGGCCTCTGGCTTCTACTATTCTATTGATGCTGAGTTCCCACTAGGGCTCGTCTTGGATATCCTGTTGTTGCCCTGTGCTGTGGAGATCCTGCAGCCTTGGGTCTGCAGGTCACATGCTCCAGCAAATCATAGATGGGGTGGATGATGGAGCAAGTCAATCATATCCTTGGGCTTGTAGCTGGACAACTGTAGGTTGGTTCGCCAGATGTGAAATGTGAACAACTCTCCTATGTTTACAACTTTGCCGTTGGCTCACCCTCACCTGCACTAACAGGGTTGACTATTGTGTTGCCCTGGTGAGGTGCAGGGCCTAAAAGGAGAAGGATATTTAAGAGCATTTATAGTAACAAAATCATAAAATGAACATATAACTGTATATGTAATCTTTAAATGGAAAAGCATAGCACTTATCCACATGCAAATTATGAATGATCATTATAAATAATCACAGTAACCAATAAATAATATTTGATGGCAAACACCTTTTATTGAGATAGCATTCTTGAGAAATAGGTCACTGGCAGGAAAGCCAATCATTCCTCAACTATAAACAATACACCATGTATTTGTCCTTATGTCTAAACAGCCTTATATTACTAATTTCTAAGTGCAGTACATGGCAGTAGTAGTGAGTTCCAGTGCAGATCCAGGATAGTGGTTCTCAAACAGGTCCTCCAGGCACTGATGCCGTATCCTTGCATGTGGTGAATACCCAAGGGAGTTGTCACTGAAGTCACACTGACTTTCTGTGTGGTAACAAAAGATACAAAGGCTTTCCTCATCAAGTCTGAATTGATTGGCTCCTTTCCTCACTTTGATTTTATATTCTACCCTCTAGGGTCCAATCTGTGTGCCATTTTCTCCTCTATCTTCCTCTGCTTCTTTCCATGAATGCCCCAATGCTGGTTTTCTCTCGTTTCCCTGCATTATCCTTCCCCACCCCTCATACACGTTTCACCTTTCTGACGTATTAAAATATATCCGACTTGGCATTTTCTGATCTTAGATTAGTTTTAATCATGTAAATCTGAAGTATTTACAATTCTTCCCTGCAAGCCAGGTGGTGGTGGCACACGCCTTTAATCCCAACACTTGGGTAGACAGAGGCAGGTGGATCTCTGTGAGTGTGAGGCCAGCCTTGTCTACAGAGTGAGTTCCAGGACAGTCAGGGCTACACACAGAAACCTGGTCTCATAAAGCCAAAAGTAAGTAAATAAAATTCTTCCCTATCAATAAATAAATTATGTGGAAGCACAGAAACTCTGTATTATGTTTCCTGGATTCAGGTGGGAGGAATTGTAGAGCTTTCTGCTAGCACTTATTAGAAGAGATAGAATCTGTATTTGCAGCTATTTTATCCTGGTGATAACATTTGAAGAAAACAGGATACATGAGCAACTTATGTCCTTTGAAGGAGCTGAGTCTTGTGGTGTTTTTTTTAAGTCACATTTTCACATGGAGGGGTAGGAAAAAAACTGATTTATGCATAGCAGCCTGAGCAAGTGCATGTAGGTGGCAAATGCTTCAGCCTAACATTCTGCAAAGACTCATAAAAATATTTAAGCAATGAATTTTTCTTAACTCAGCAAATGCTATATGGTTGATGACAAGGGTCTGAGGAGAGAAATATAGCATCTGTTGGGCTACAGTTTTCACTCTCATCTTCTCTTTACATCCTGATGAAAAAGTGACAGGTTTTCCTACAACATCCAGCAGATCCTACAATTCACAATAGAATCACGTGTGAGGTCTTTGGCCACAGAATTGGCAGGGGACTAGGTCTCCATTGAAGGAACAAAGAAACTCACTCAAGAAAGCATTGAGAAAGACTTGCCAAACAGAAAGACATCATCAATTCCCCTTTCTTCACCCTCACATTGAATGAATGAAATGCCAGACAGGAGTGAAGTATTTAGACTGTGTGCCCAAGGCTTTCAGAGGCTTTTAAAATAGAACACATAGAAGAAGAGAGACATTTGGAGCCACTTAGAATTACTTGCATGTAGATATAATCTGAAGTAATGAACTGTATGATTGGGGAGAATGACAGGATCATCAGGATGCAGGTGAAAATGTTCAGTGTGGTAAATATTTTTAAGGCCAATGGATTTCTTAAGTTGCCTGCTACAATAGATGACATTCATTCCCACTTTTTGGAATGGCTCTAAGTTGCATGAAATATATCCACAAGTAATTTTCCGGTTTTCTGATGCAGTTAGCCATGATCAATAACCTTTCTTTCATTGTTTTGTATTTATTGATCATAGACACTTAACTGAGAATTATTGTTGAAATACAGACCAAGACATGCTTTCTGATGGAACATTAATTAGAGCATCTAGTAATTTGTAGACCCTGGTCATTACATATGCTCGAGGATTCTGCAGCTCAATGCCTAGCAGGCAGAGCCAGCTCCAAATGCCTGCTTGTGAAAGCCCAAAAGAGAAGTAGGAACGAAAGCTCCACATACTTGTATTGTTCTCTCTGTGCTGATCGAACTACAACTGTTATTAATTTTAGAATAATCATTGGATGATAGTGTAGTAACCATTTGTTCAGAGAATTGTAAAAAACTAGTAAAAATGGGCCACAATTGTAGTCCCTTTGACTTACATATCCTAAGGCAGTCAACATATTTTAAAGTATATTTCAAAATAGCAATTTGAACATTAGGAAAATTATTTGATTGCTAACTGTCAAGATTTTATTGTATATATCAAGAGCTGCAGGCATTTTTCAAGCAGATTTAAGAAAAAATAATACAAGAGGTTTTTGTTTTGTTTTGTTTTTCCTTTGCAGTGTGACTTCCATAATATTGTAGAAAGTAACCCAGGTAGTTAATTAAGAGTTCTAAGGAGGTTTTACATACAGACTTTTATGTCTAAAGGATACGGAAATGACTTATATTTATAGAGGATAATGTATAGCACATGGTGTTTTAGATCAGAGCTTCCAATAGGGAGAGATACTGAACTCTGAACTTGAGAGTGGTCAGATCCCATAGTCTATCCATTTCTAGGCATGACCAACTTAACTACTGCGCCCAAACACATTCTCTTATCATTTCCTCTGGGCAAAAGTTCTGCTTTCAACTGTCCACTTGGATGATCATGTTGTCTGTGCTAAGTTACAACCACTAAAGTTGTATGAAGGCATTAATGAAGAGGAGGCAACCACTATGGCGGCATCTAAGCACAGCTGTCCACCACAACACTTTCACATAAGTCATTTGCAACAACCATATTCTACCCATAAAGTCTTTAGCTACTCTGACTTCATTTTTCTCCATCCTTTCTTCTTCTCTTCCTTCCTTTATTCCCTTCATTCCTTCCTTCCTTCTCTTTTTATCTGGTTTGGGGACTGAACCACCAGACATGCACTATGTCATTGAATTATATCATCTCCAGATTCTCTTATACACTCTTTTTTTTTTAAATTCAAGGGAGACTTTTACTAACTTGACAAGACTAGCCTCGAACTCATTTTTTAGCTCTGGCAGACCTTTTAAACTTGTTATCCTCCTGTCTCAGTTGCTCATGTAGCTGTGATTATAGGACAGACCTGCCAACCCAGCCCTGTTGGTATGTCCCTATGTTCTCATGAATGATATATACCCTGTTAATAAAGTTAAGAGTGTAGATGCTCTCTGAATTGTTTCCTGACAGAAACTGCTACCTTTCTAAAGCCCAAGACATCATTCTTCCTAAGGTTTCAGGTACGGACTCTAACTGGATTTCAGCTCCATGGGTATTATTATTTCTGACAGGTAGGCTCAGTCAGTGTGTGAAGTGTCACCCTGCAGTCATTGACAGAATACATTAGAGTAACTCACAGAAATTACTATACCAACATATAAGAATCACACACCTGAAGAATAATAGAGAGCAAGGTTTTTTTCAAACAAACAAACAAAAAAAAAGAATCTCAAAGTTGAATATCTCCAACAGGGTATGGCTCTTTTTTTCCTTTTAACACCATGAGGACTGGCTCAACGTTATTGCAGTGGTCACATGACAGAACAGGGATCCTGAAGCTTTTGGCTAAATGTATAAGTTCCACACTAGCATGGTTTTATAGAAGTATCAATTATGGCTCCGTGGTTTTGTTAGTTTTGCATTTATTTTTCAAATCATGTCTGGGAAGAATTAAAGAGTCATGTGCTATTGAAAAACAAGAACAGGCAAGCAGTGTAGCTCAATGGTAGAGAAGCCCTGAGATGACCTCCTAGCACTGAGTGAAAATAAAAGGAATGTGAAGGCCTACTATTGACTCGTGCTGTAAGACAGCTGAGTCACAAAGGCATCCTGATAAACTATGCTGAGTGAAAGAAGCCAACACACAAGAACATACTCAGATAGGCACCACAGAAACAGAAGTGCTTCCAGGTGCTGAAAGAAGAGCAGAATTGGGAACAACAGCTTCATGTGTATAGAGTTTCCTTCAAGGGTGGTGGAGATATTCTGGAAGTCAATGATAGTTATTGTTGTATAGAATTAACAATGTATCGATTTAGTGAATTGTCCAGTTTAATGCACTTGTTTATATCATGTGACTTTTCCTACAAGTTAAATAATTCAGAGCTTTTCAAATTCATTTGAAATTAGAGAAATATGATATTAGATGGAGCTTAGAGCTAACCTAGTCTAACACATGCTTGGCAAAAAAATTCTTTAGGGACACACACAAAAAAATACATAAATAAATAAGCATAAGGTTTATTGCTGATCTATGATAAATTAATGACTACATCATATCCCTCCTAAGGATTTTCAACTTTTTTAGGATTCAGGGCTCTGAAACAGGGTGAAATATAGTGATTTCTGACCAATCTTTAGATCAAGGAAGGAAAAATATTTTAGTTAATGACTCCTAAGAGATGCAGTGTTCCCTCCCTTCAATCTAATAGATTATTTTAATAAGATCTTTCCCAGAGCTTAAGATTTGTCCTCAAACTCTAATTTGAAGATTACCCATATGGATACAGTCCTCATTTTAACTGAAAGTTGTGTCTGCTTACAACACTTCATTAACCAAGCAGGAAAAATAATAATGCCAAGAACTTGGATATCCTAAAAGATGTAGCCTCAAATGCCAGTAATCCCTTATTCCTTTCTGGAAGGGAATGGAGCATGATTAGTTTTATTCTGTCTGTACTCTTTTGTTAAGAGAAGCTTTTTCTTTGCTAGCCGCTTTGGTTTATCACCCGCCAGCCGCCTGGGCTCTGCCGCATTGTAGCCCCCAAATAAACACACAGGAGGCTATATTAATTATGAAGCTGTTGGCCTTGCTTGTCTCTTACTGGCTAGCTCTGCTTTAAGCAATTACCCCATAATTGTTAATCTAAGTATGTCTCTTACCGGAGAATAGTTCCGGGCTCCTACCCCAATGGCGTTACATGTTGACTCTCTTGTGTTTCTCCTTCCCAGAATCCTCCTGGACTCCTAGCCCCACCTATCTAGATTCCTATAGGCTCAACAGTACTTTATTGACAAATAACAGGCAAATAACAGGACTTCCCCAACACTCTTTGGTCTGTATAATGTGTAGGCTGCCTTTTCTCCATGGATATGATAAGAGAATTCAGATGTAAAAAAACAGAAACTATGGTTCCATGTCAGAGCTGAAAGGTAAAACTAGAATGGAGTGTCCTATGCTATCCCAAGGTAAGGACCACACCAGGACATTAACAGGGTTCCTGGTTCTAGTCAAGAAGCAGGGAGGAGTGCACAACAGCAGAGCAGGCAAATAGAAGTCCCTAGGGAATTCTAATAAGGACCTGGGGTAGACTTGCTGATGACTCTGATGCTTTTATTTAGCATCCCCTCATGGCACTGGGTGAATGTTCATGGATCTCAAGTAGAATAGACTGCAGAGTTTGGACATCTCCTAAGTACACAGCAAGAACTTTCAAACTAGGCATGGGGGCACATTTCTATAATTCTAACACCTCATAGGTAGAGATAGAAGGATCAGGGATTCAAAATCAAGCTAGTATATATAGCAAGTCCTGTACAAAAGGAAAGAAAAAAAACAGAGATAGGGAGGGGGAGGGAGAAAGGAGAGGGAAAGACAGAAAATAATCAATGAAAGAAACAAAGATAGATGAATAGACAGACAGACAAACAGACAGATAGATGAAGGGGAGGAAGAAAGGAGAGAGAGAAGGAAGGGGTGGAGAAAAGTGAAATGCCCATATTCATTAGATGACCTACAACTCATGATTCCCTGGATCCAGACTTCATGTGCTCTACATGAACCCTACTGTAGCTTTTCAAGCAAAATCATCTTGAGAGTTTTCAGTTCAACAGTAGCACAAAAGTATTTTCTCCTTCACATGGATATAGTGTACTTAAATTGATTGTTCCATAAGTAAAACAGGTAATGATATGCCCTTCCTTGTGGAGGGAGTTTGCATGCATGTTAAGATTTTCAACAATTGCTTCTCTAAATACAATTTCTAAAGAACAATAGAATTATTTGTGAACTCCTTCTGAACATTCATAATTGTATTTCCTGTCAATGTTACTTTGAAAAGATATTTATAAACTCATAAAATTATTTCAGCATTAAAATAGAGATAGCAATAAGATTATATTAAAGAAATACACATTTTCGATTAAAACCTAGACATGACTTCTGACTCTATGCTTTATTTGATTACCAGGAAGCTATCATTCCCAAATAAGTGGTCTCAAAGCGGTGGGATTCTTAATTCATGGTAGTTTGGCAGAGAAGAAGAAAGCAAGCTGTCTGCTACAAATTCTCTATTCGTGGGGGAATAGGGCAGACAATTTTAAATTGAACACTCTGCCTTCCACAATGCTCCTGATTTCATACCAGCCAAGTAAAGTTTGAAACAAAAGCAGAAGTGATTAGGAAGAACGAAGAGCCTATAAAAAAAAGAATGCCTCTTTCAATGAGATTTAATCATGGAACTCAACAGGACTACACGGAAGGAAAAAAATGCCAAATGTTTGTGGCGCACCAGGGGATATTTTTCTACTTATCTTCGTGTCAGCTAAAACTGATGATGGTGAGAGAGGAGATGGTAGAAGCTGAGGCGCCCTGTAATTATTATTTCCTTGAGCCAAGTGAGGTGCAAGATCCATTATAGTCCCTTCCCACCTCTACCTGACGCCTGACTCTGAGTCACTGTGTAATGCTTCCCCCCCGCAGAGTGGGAGTTATTTTTCTGGAATCTGAAGTGGGAAAAAGTACAGTCATTTCCCACACATTCTCTTACCCTGAAGCTAGTTGGGAATTTATTTTCTTGTACCCGACAGAGCTGATATCTTTAAGAGTAAATAATGAGAAGGGGCAGGGTGACTACTTATCACGGAGTGGGAAGGGGAAGAAAATGCTGATCCTGACCATATTGATTCCCTAGAGAGAGAGAGAGAGAGAGAGAGAGAGAGAGAGAGAGAGAGAGAGAATAATAATAATAGAGGGATCAGAGTCTATGTGCTCTTTTGGTTCTTCTTGGTTTCAAATGCCAGGTCTAATGAAATTTAGTGAAGGTGCTGAGGTCATTAAGTTACTCTTTCTTTAGGAAACCACCCACCTCATTAGACTTAAAAACAGTTTTTCCAGGCTAGTAACCTCTGGTAGAAGCCAGGACTAATGACTACACACAGTAGAAATAAACATGGTCATTTGCAGGGTAACACTGGCAAGATGTAGGGAGGAACCAACAGAGACGACTACGAATGAGTACGGAGCTTATGGTGCTGAGGAATTTAGAGCTGTGGATACCTGGAGAATTCCTAGCCTTCTTACTTCCAAACCATTGTCCCCTGACTCTGTCTACTTAATGCTCCCCACTGTACCAAATCCCTGCACACCAGCCCAAATTCACAAACAATCAGAGACACTATGAGCAGTATACCATGGTGCCTAGGATGTCTACTGCTGGGAGACAAATTCTTCTGCAATGCAGTCTTCATGACATGCTTGGTTGTCTGTAGACAAGGTCTAATAGAAGAGGTGGTCTATTGCTTTTGGAACCATCCAAAGTTCTGTCTCTTTTATCTTGATGGTATAACTATTCTTAGATGTTAAAAAAGAGACAAAGAGAGAGAGAGATGCCCAGGTGCCCTCTTCATTAACAGTGGCACTGTTAATTAGGATGTTATTTTTAGAGAGCATTCTGGCACCGCAAGAGCTCAATAAAGTGATCATGCCCCTTGAGCTAATCATTCCCACCTTGGGGAATTATCAAAAGCAGCAACATTTAAACCTACTTGAACAAAGATGTTTATAGCCACCCTATTTGTAATCACACACAACTGGAAACAACCCAAACGCTCAACAATTAGGGAGTGATTAAGCAAACTTTAGAACTTCAATAAGAAAAAAAACCTCTGTGCCAATAAAAATGATAAGTACTGTAAAAGTACTGTAAAAGCCAAGGTAAAACAAATTTACATTACAAAGGATATCATTTATACTATTATAAGTATAGTATAAAGTTATGTACTTGATTACAGCAATGCCAGTCTTATCCTTAACAATAAGAAGGGACCATAATCTGGATGAGGTCATGTATCCCTAACCCAAAGTGCTTAGAACCAACGTGTTTGGATTCCAGTGATTTGGGAAAATTTGCTTATATATAATGAGCTTACATAATGAGCCATGTTTGGAAGAGGACCCTAGTCTAAGCATGGAATTCAACTATTACATGGATACCTTACACAGACTGAAAATGATTTATGCAGTATTTCCTGCTTTTACTAGGACCAGTCACAAGAGGTCAGACATTTATAAAATCCCAATGGAATCCAAAGGTTTTTGAGTTTAAAATATTTCAAATTTTGTGTATTTGAATAAGGACCATTCCATCAGTATATAGTTACTTGTCAGAATGAATAAAGATTATGTATTCTTACAATAGTTTGTGTTTTTCCATATAAACTATAAGCCAGTTTTAAGATATATTCTTAAAGGTACTAGAGTGGTATAAAATGTGCTGAAACTATGTTTGTTTAATACTCTGCATGTTCATTTATGGTATACTTCTGATATATACCACAGGGTCAATAATTATTAGTGGCCATAGAGGCCAGGGCTTTAAAACATTATATAACTGAAATTAACTAGAAGTAAGTACAAACTTGGCCTTCAATAACATTTACCAATTGCATTAAGATAAAGCAAGGTCAAAAATTCTGTAGCTAAGCAGTCAAAGGGGGGCTCAGAGCCTGGAGCTGAGTAAGAAGTACAAAGCAGAGATCAGGAAGGTAGTGGCAATTAGAGATGGAAAGTGGAGAAAGAATGTCAGACTCAAAGGCTGCAATAGAGAACTGAAAAAAGCTCTGTGTACCGGCGCCTCCAAATGGCAGCTTTTAAAGGATATATATATATATATATATAATCTACAAGCTCCAGGGTAGCAAAACCATGTCAATTCTAAGTCTCAAAAGAACAGTATCATTTTCAATGGTGGGCACCTTGATTGGTCTGTATTAATGATATTTTATTTAGTGATTTACCATTGGAATGAATCACATAGCTGATTGTAGCAAAACACATAGAATCCCTGAACGTCATGCTTCACTGGGTGTTTTACAATAGTGTGTATCTAGAATTATTCATGTAGGGATATCCTTATGAGTGCAGTAGTCAGTCAAACTCCAGCTCCCTGCTGCTGGGAGGCTTCTGCTTCGGGAAGCAGCAGCCACCTGATTATTGTTCATGAAGTCAAATGAGAGATGTCTGCAGCCCTTTCTGAAAGCTGACAATGCTGTGTTCACCACTGGGACTTTTCCACAACTACATTTCCAATTTTGTATCAGTAAACTTTTAACTGTTCAAATCAACAAGAGTCATTGATTCCGGGGTGCTGTGTTGAATCAATCTCCACTGGTCATTTCCGATCACTCCCGACAGTCAGCCTTTCAGAATGACTTCAGATGTTAAAGCAACACAGATACACATGAAAGGCTTGCTTCCTACCCAAATGTGCGGGAGCTGAAATTACAAAAGATACCTTGAACCCAGATCTTCCCTGTAAGTACAGAGTGGTAGAATGAGGACAGTTTTTGAAACTGGATTTGAGCTCGAACCTTGGGTAGGCTTTTCCCTGCAAAGAATATCTGGGTCTTCACCTGTAACATAAGAGTAATGTCGCTCACTTATAGAACTGCCACAGGATCAGATAAAACACACAAAAGAAGCAGCAGGTCAGCTTTTATATGACATTATTCGATTCTCTGTAAGAGAATGGGGCTGTGTTAGCGTGGGTTCATTGTCTACAATATTGTCCTTCTTCAGGGCATATTTAATGATAAGACTTCAGGCCATTGCTAGAATACCTTCCTTCTGTTTTTTTTTTGTCCTTGTATGTTATAGTAAGGACTTTATTATGCTAAATGTTAATTTGAAGTAAGATAAGTTACA